GACACTTTTGCAAGTTTAAGACGTGGAATGTAGAATGTACGTTACTGAGCTCGCGGGGTAGGTTGAGTTTGTAAGCTACAGGGCCGATTCTAGCGAGAATCTCGAAAGCTCCTATGTATCTTGGATTGAGCTTTCCATGCTTTCCGAAGCATATCAAGACCTTCCAGAGGAAGACTTTCAAAAGAACGCGGTCTCCCACCAGGAATTATAAAGGCTTCCTTCATTTGTCTGCATAGCTCTTCTGTCGGTCTCTAGAGGTCTTCAATCGTTCACGAATCTGAACGATCTTCTCTGTCATTTCCCGTATGATTTTCAGACCTGTGAGAGTGTTGTCAATAACTTTTCCTTTAGCTAACTGGGTGTCACCCACCTCAGCCCAGCACAGAGGGGATCTGCACTTCCGGCCATAGAGGGATTCGAATGGAGCAGCCTTGATGCTCGTGGGATAACTGTTATTGTAGGAGAATTCGACAAGGGGTAACTGAGTATCCCATGCCTTCCCAAAGTCGATCACGCAGGCTCTCAACATATCTTCTAGTGTTTGGATGGTTTTCTCACTTTGGCCATTGGTCTGAGGATGGTAGGTTGTACTCATGTCCAGCCTCGTTCCTAGGGAGCTTTGTAGTAACTTCCAGAACTTTGAAGTGAACCTACTATCTCTATCGGAGATAATGGATATAGGAACACCATGCAGTGGTACGATTTCCTTAATGTATGTTCTCGTAAGCTTCTCTATCTTGGAAGTATCTTTGATAGGCAGGAAGTGTGTAGACTTGGTAAATCTGTCGACAATGACCCATATGGTATCAAGTCCACCCGTTGTCTTGGGCAACTTGGTTATGAAATCCATAGTGATCCGCTCCCACTTACATTCTGGTATCTCTGGTTGTTGCAGCAAACCGGAGGGTTTCTGGTACTCGCCCTTAACCTTTGCGCAAGTAAGGCATTTACTTACGAAGGTAGCAATCTCTCCTTTCATGTTAGGCCACCAGTATAACTTTTTAAGATCCAGATACATATTATCTGAACCTGGGTGGACGGAATATTGAGTGTTGTGTACCTTGGTCGTGATAAAGTCTCAAAAGCCATCATGTTTCGGTGTCCAGATCCGGTCCATGAAATATAAGGCTGCGCCACCCCTGGCTTCTAAGTTCTTATCCATTCCTCTAAGGGATTTACGCGCAACATTTTCAGGTTTCAAGGCTTCAAGTTGAGCCTCCTGAATTTGTGTAGACAAGTGTGAATGGATAGTCATTGTCAACGATTTAACTCTTCGACCGTAATATTCTTTCCCACTTAGGGCGTCTGTTACTACGTTGGCTTTACCCGGATGATAACGAATTTCGCATTCGTATTCATTGAGTAGTTTGACCCACCACCATTGTGTCATGTTGAGCTCCTTCTGATCGAATATTTGTTGTAAGCTCTTGTGGTTTGTAAAGATGGTGCTCTTCATACCATACAGATAGTGTCTCCAGATCTTCAGGGCAAACACAACTGCTCCCAGCTCAAGATCGTGCGTGGTGTAGTTGACTTCGTGTGTCTTCAGCTGTCTCGAGGCATAGGCGATGACCTTACCTCATTGCATCAGAACACAACCGAGCCCTTGGTTGGATGCATCACAGTATACAACGAAGTCTTCTATCCCCTCGGGAAGGGATAGTATCGGTGTGGTGCATAAGGCTTGTTTCAGCGTTTGAAATTCTCTTTCTTGTTTCTCTTCCTAGTCAAAGGCCACTCCTTTATGGGTGAGTGTAGTAAGAGGTTTCGCAATCCGGGAGAAGTTCTGTATGAACCTACAGTAGTAGCCAGCGAGACCTAGAAATTGATGAATTTTTGTAGGCATCTTCGGTGCTGACCTGTTCTCAATGGCTTTAATTTTGGACTAGTCCACATGGATTCCCTCTTTGCTAACTACGTGCCCTAAGAATTCGACTCTTCGGATCCAGAATTCACACTTAGAGAACTTCGCATAGAGCTTCTCCGTTCGTAAAGTTCCTAGAACTTATCTTAGGTGATCGCCATGCTCTTCCTTACTTCGGGAGTAAATCGGGATGTCAACAATGAAGACGATGACGAATTGATCCAAGTAAGGATGATATAATCTATTCATTAAATCCATGAACACTGCGGGCGCATTGGTTAATCCGAATGGCATCACCACGAACTCGTAGTGTCCGTAATGAGTTCGGAAGGCTGTCTTTGGAACATCCTCCTCTAGCACTCATAATTGGTGATATCCGGATCTTAGATCAATTTTGGAAAAGTAACTCACCCCTTGCAATTGGTCAAATAAATCGTCTATGAAAGGCAGAGGGTAACGATTTTTGACCGTCAGTTTGTTGAGTTCTTTGTAGTCGATACACATACGGAATGATCCATCTTTCTTCTTAATGAACAACGCTGGTGCTCCCCAGTGTGAGAAGCTTGGTCTTATAAAACCCTTGCTGAGTAATTCGTTAAGTTGACCAGATAGTTCCTACATCTCAGCTGGTGCTAATCAGTAGGGCGATTTGGCTACTAGGGTAGCTCTTGGGACTAAATCGATTCTGAACTCAACTTGTCATTGCGGAGGTAATCCTGGTAGTTCTTCAGGAAAGATGTCGGGAAAGTCGCTCACTACTGGAATGTTCTTTAGTTCTTTTGCTTCTAGGCTCGCATCAATAATGTGAGCAAGGAATGCACGATATTCCTTACGTAGATACTTTTGTGCTTGAATACTTGAGATGATACGAAGACTCATGCCGGGTTTGTCGCCGTAGATGATGAGAGTTTCGTTAGCCGGGAGGTTTAGACGGACTTCTTTCTTGTAGCACATGATGTCGGCGCGATGAAGACTCAACCAATCCATGATGATGATGACGTCGAAGCTTTTGATTGAGACCGGCATGAGGTCGATTGAAAATGAATGGCTATCTAGAGTTAGGGTACATCCTATGTATATGCTATTTGTGTTCTCAGTTTTTCCATTAGCAATTTCTACAGTGAATGGTTCCTTAAGTGTATGTGGTTTTTGCTAAGTAGGTGAGCAAATTTATGATTTACGTAGCTTCTCTCTGCTCCATTATCAAACAACATGCATGCATAAGAGTTATCGAGGAGAAACGTACTAGTCACCATCATAGGGTCAGCAACTGTTTCCCCTCTGCATATAGCCAGAACTCTTCCTGCTCCACCAACATTTCTTGCCTTGGGGCAGTCCCTTTTATAGTGGCCCACCTTGCCACATCCATAGCAAGCCTCGCCCGCACCAGCACCGTGAACTTGGGTGATCGGCCTTGCTGGAGATTTGCAGAAATGGACAGTGTGTCCTTTCTTCTTGCAGTTGGAGCACTGAATTTCCAGACAAAGGCCGTTGTGGTGGAAGTTTCATTTGTTGCACTTTAGCAAACTTCCAGCATACTGCTTCACCGGAGCAGCAGCAGCGGGTGTTATCGCGGCATGAATCGCCACAATCTGCTGCTTTTTGGCAGTTCGTTGCTTCTTCTTGTCATCCCAGAACTTCCGCTTATTGTTAGAGGGTTTGGAGGGTTCTGAGATGGCAAGGGTTGTTGATGACGATGGGGATTAGACATTATGGTCGATGATTCAACTCGACCGGGTTTACTCAATTGACTTTGACTTTCAACAAGTTTGACCATTTTGAAATAAGGTCATTTGGATGAATAAGTGTCGTTAGAGCTGAGATTCGGAGTCGGGACCTCATCAGTTATTTTTCAGATTGTGAAGTGTGTTTTCCTCACTATACCTATGGGTCGAAGGCACCAAGGTCGGCCCATTGGATTTGATAACCTGCCCTATGATAGAATGTCATTATGCGGTAGTGATATGTTAGATCTGCTTCATAGTTTTTGGTCG